ACTGCGCTTTGCATACTATTTCTACATACCTCGGCTATCTAGATAGCTTTCCCGAATTTTGCGAAAGCGATATGGGCTTGCCTATGGCAGTAATTATATAATACAAGCCCCTATGAGTTACTAATGGCGGTCCCAGGATTGTCCGAGAAAAGGCAGAAAAATTTTTAAATGGTGCATGGCGTTAGCCACCCACTCCCAAAAATTTTTTGTGGTGCTTCTCAAAATCTTTGAGGACCCAAAACCTCTGAAAGCTAGAAAAAGGGGACGTGCCCAGTGGCGGTAGGACGGTCTAGATCGCAGGTTCCACTGATTTAGCAGAACAACTGGTAAAATATAAATGGCTTATTACGAAATATGACATACCACAAGAAGAAGCTGAAATGCAAATACAGAGAATAGGAGTAGCTAAATGAAGAGATATAGAAGAGCTAATACAGAACAGTGAATATTGGTGAGAAACTGTCGAGAAACTGTTGAGGAACGAACAAGGCACCTCAGAACCGATACATGAATTATGGTGTTTCGTACATTTCACGGTTTTGGTTCAAGACTAATAGTGTGACAAAAAACCTAGGCCGGGCGCCTGAAGGCTACAGCCCTCCCTCTTTCTCCCCCCCCCTCTTCCCTCCCTTCCTCGGTCCGCCACTGGTAGAAGCATGAACTCTGGCTTTCTACAGCAGCTGGTTTTTGAGAAACATTTCAGCCAACTAAATTTACCTCTTTCCATTCGGTTTCATGCCAATTTTGACATTTGTTGGAAAACCGTGAACTTACCATCGTCGGACGCAGGTTTGATCCCGTTCCTGGTCCAATCAAGTCCTCTACTTTTAAATACAATAAATTGTTACCACAGTATTTCTGAAATTGGGAAAATAAAAACCTAACTTGGTAATCGGCTGGACCCCGCAAGTCATGTAAATGGCTCGTACGCATACAATTGCCTCTTCGACTAAAATAGTGTGTGTTCGGCACATACTCGCCGAATGCTTTGAAGACTCCGAATCTTTTATTCTTTATCCCTTTACCTTTAAAATCCGGAACCGCTCCATGCTTGCTCCATGGATATTAAACTTGAGATCGTTTTTGCCATAGTAAGGGTTTGGTCCCTTACTATGGCAAAAAGTAAAAGTATGTAAGTAAAAGTATGGCAAAACCTTTTCTGAGAAAGTTAACCTTCAAAGACCTTATACTTAAGAAAAAACATACCTTTTCACGTTTTTATCGTACTCTAGTGGTGGGCAATCGCAGAAAGATGGGCGTACAGACTTTAGAACAAAACATTAGAAACTCGCCCTAAGGCTTGTTTTCTCTAAAATGCTTCCAGAGGGAATGGCCCGTAGTAAAGCTAGCTTAGTTCAGGTGAACTAAACTAAGGCCCTCATCCGAGCTTCGGTAAGGTAGACTGACTTTCCACTTCTCACGCTGTAAGAATGCAAGATGAAATTTCAGCTAACCGTCCTTCTGTCTGCCTGACAAGGTTGTCAACTTTCTTAAATCAGTTCACATTTATAGGCGACCAACTGACTTAAATATAAATAGTGTGTAAAGATGATACGCAGAGAAAATTTTCGTAAGTCGCTCCTACTTAACTTACGATACACATCAGTTTAACATGTTGAACATACTGAGCGAGCAGCCACAGTGCAGGGTGACGATAAGATCTAACAAGTGCGGCCACATCTCCGTCGCTGATACCAATCATTTGAATGTGAATGTTTAGCGGACGCGTTTTGACTCGTATACTTGCATGAACGTGGCGTTTTCAATCATATCATCGTGGAGGTCAGCATCATCAATTAATGGCTCGACTGAGGGCAAGCTGACTCGTCGAAGCCTCAATTGAAATTTCATTCAGTTGAAATCGAATGAAGCAGTTTTAGACGGGCCAATTGCTCTGTGCCACAGACGTGGATGAAAAACTGCATGCTCTGTGTAAAAATTGGTTAAAAACGAACTGTAGTTCAAGGTTTGATTAATGATTACAAAGAGAATAGTTTGTAAAACGTCGCCAACGGTGCTCCAAAATAAGGATTTGTTTCCCTGACTGCATTGTTTCGTTTGTTTCGTTCATAACAGATGGTGTACTTCTAAGCACAGCTTCTAAAAATAGTGATTTTCATAGCTTCACTCTCTCAATTTAAATTGTTGTTTTCATTTTGATTTTGCTTGACTGCAATAAGACAGACAAATGTTGTTCAGTTGCAAGTCTGCAAATCTCTGTCAAATGGCATATTACGATAAGCTGTAGCTTTCCCTTGTGCCAAGTGTTTTGTCAAAAATCATTTTTGATGTGATTTAGTTTGAGAGTTCAATTTTTGCATTGATAATGTTCGAATACTACTATAGATTCCGTCATATCATCATATTTAAGTTTACTGACAATAAGCAAATCTTAGACAAAGTAAAACTTACCTAAAGTGCGGTTCATAACTATACGAATACCCAAAATTTTGTAAGTTTTTGGACTTTTTGGGAGAAACTTAAAAAGCCATCGGTACCATGCGATAGAACACAGCCGAAAACGGTATATGATCCATAAGAATGGAAAAGGATGTCAATCTTAGGAGCGTTTTTGCGCCTAATTCGAATTTTTGGCGGTTCATAATTATACGAACACCTCAAACAAAGGTCCATTTTTCATTCAAGATTGCAATCAATTGAGTCCAAATTTTTTGTAGAGTTACAGTAACAAAGTCTGATATATCCGCTATACACTAAACCCAGTGCATTTCAAAAAGAGGACCGTTACTTTTTTCAAAAGCTCTAAATGCTTTTGGAGTGATTGTGCTCCAAAAACATCCGTTCTTTTGTGATTTACACGCTCTAATTAGTTTCTACCAAAGCTATGAGATGAAATAAGCTCTTGCGATAGGTATTTCGTTTGACGCTTGGATAATCTTTGCGTTTTCGTGCCGTTTTTCAACCACGTTTCAACCTTACCACAGAGTTAGCACGATTTCGAGCCTCAAGACTCAGCTTCTGAAGCCGTACAGTGAAGTAAGCATATAGTATGTAAAAGTTCACAAGATTTTGTATTTGGCTAGAAAAAAATCAGCAGCGTTGAGCATTTGTTTTGGTCACGCAGACGTTATTTCACCAGAAATACTGTTTTTACTATTGCAATCACACCTTTACCTGGTTTGTAGCTCCACAGCCGCAAGATCAGTTTTAGAAAAAACCCAAAAACTTTGGCACAGAAACATTATTATGCAGGCAATGCAGCTACTTCATATCAAATGTTTGCGCATGAAAGAAGCTGAGTCTTGAGGCTCCAAATCGTGCTAACTCTGTGGTAAGGTTGAAACGTGGTTGAAAAACGGCACGAAAACGCAAAGATTTTCCAAGCGTCAGATGAAATACCTATCGAAAGAGCTTATTTCATCTCATAGCTTTGGTAGAAGCTAATTAGAGCGCGTAAACCACAGATGAACGGATGTTTCTGGAGCCCAATCACTCCCAAAGCATTTAGAGCCTTCTGAAAAAAGGAACGGTCCTCGTTTTGAACTGCACTGGGTTCAGTGTGTAGCAGATGTTTCAGACTTTGCTACTGTAACTCTTCAAAAAATTTGGACTCAAACGATTGCAATCTTGAATGAAAAATGGACCTTTGTTTGAGGTGTTCGTATAATTATGGACCGCTAAAAATTCGCATTATGCGCAAAAACACTCCTACAATTGACATCGATTTCCATTCTTATGAATCATATACCGTTTTCGGCTCACGTGTTCTATCGCGTGGTACCAACGGCTTTTTGAGTTTCTCCCAAAAAGTCCGAAAATTTACAAAATTTTGGGTGTTCGTATAATTATGAACCGCACTTTATAAAACCTATTAATATTCAAAAACGAACATCCGAAAAATAAGGAGGAGGAAAGTGATCGATAGTTAAGGGGGAAAAGTCTACTGGGGTAACCCGGGGTAATCAAATTTGGGTTAATAGTTCTAGTTTCTATTTCTATATTCAAAGCTGTAGGAGCTTGCTGCTGGAATAAGCTTCGAAAATTTGAGAAAAATCTATTCGCCTTAGACATGTTTTTTCTGTATTTTGAACTTTTTCACCTTTCCTTCTAAACAGCTTCATTTACCTTCGGAATGTAAAGCGCCAAAATCGCGTATTTACTATCAATTAGGAATTTCAAATGATTAAAGGTTAAAAAATCCTTTATTATCAACGAAATTGCTCGTGAAAAATTGTGCGCATATCTACTAATAGATCGTACTACCTCTGGATGACTGATTCATCACAGTATGGTTCAACTTTGTAGTTGTTTTTTTTTTTCTTTTTTTATTTGCCGTCGTCACCTTGTCCTAGTCTGGTTTTGTTGTAATAAGCACGTCTTCTGGCTTACAAATAAAAAAACAAGAAGGCATGCGTTTGATAAAAACTTATGATTTACCACTGTTTGAAAAACTATCTGTGTCATTACTCAAGAATCATTTTGGCACTTCCTAAGAATTTGCTTCCTAAGTTGGCTCGAAATCTCGGACATTTTTTGACTAAATTTACTATTCCTCAAAACATAATGCATGACATCCTCGGTAATGCAGCTGTACTCCCTATTCTACTTGTTTCCCTATCGCCTGTAGCTGATATCGAAACAAGTGGGAGGAGCTTGGAACCAGTGGAGGAGGAGTTTGCCACTTGTCAATTACCTAGTTTTTTTTGTTGATCAAGCTCAAATTCCTTACAAATTCTGCATATAAGTATGTAAGTATTGTTTGTACTATAAAAATAGAGCATGTGGAGGTTCCATCACCTTTGTAGAAGTTGGAGATCTGGGTTAGGTCAAAACCCTATGCTTTAGAATTTTCGCCTGAATTTTCACAGAAAACACTAATAATGCTTCTGCTTACAAGAACTTTGTAGAGATTGCTTTTCTCTAAATAATGGTGTGCAGCATGCCCCAATCTGCTTAATCGGAACAAAAACTTTTTGTGAATGCATTGTCCGAGAACTTTCGAGCCAACTTAATATAAGCTTCGAATGGCCATTTTCTGCATGGTGGTCACGCCCTTTCAGGCCTACAGGATAGAAACTAAGACTGGTCCACATGCTGCTTTTCACAATGGTAACATAATTTTCTATGAAGCGTTGCTAAAAAATTTTGGAAGATTTAGATTTGGCTTCCAGCATACTCATATAAGTTACCAAAGCTCGGAGATAATGACATCGACACAGAAGAAGGTAAGATCAGTTATGCTTAACAATAAGTGGTGATTCTTGCACTAATCTTCAATAAAACCGCATAACATAAATTAATGAATAAGTCCGGTTCAACATACAAACTTGGAGCTCGATTTGAGCAGCTGTTATTCAGCCAAGGTTTTTTTGTGAGAAAGAAAGCCCTCTATTATAATAAACATGTTATTGATAATTTTTTTTCCAGTGATAAAAGGCAATTTATAATAAACATGTTATTGATATTTTTTTTCAGTGATAAAAGGCATTTATAATCTTATAGCTATTCTTCTAGAAATCACTACTTTGAATTTTCAACTTTCGTTTCCAAGCTGTACCTTGCTGCCAAGATTGAGGGAGTTCCCGGATTTGCGCGTGGAAGTCAATTTTTTGGGCAATCCAAATCACTTGTGCGTCTGCCATGCAACGTTTGAATTATTAAAGCTTGTTATGCTCAAGTCAAGCTCAAGTGAAAACTAGTCATAAATTAATTGATCTTTCAAAGATTCGAATTTTGAAATAAGCCAATATTTAAATATCCAATTATTATTTGAAAACCGGAAAGCAACAGTTTCCGTTCATACGTGATTTTATTCCTTACTGTTATTCACTAACCGGCTCTGAAGAGTGCTACCTAAAGTTTGACAAAATACTTTGTGGGAGCAGAGTCATCAACGATCAAGCAGCGCAATACTTTTGAAACACTCCTGTACAAAGCTTATCAATTGCAGTGTCGGGTGCACCAGCATCTCCGTTCCCGCGTGGACACCATTTCCGCGAACATGCTCTCCAATCATGTCCAATCGATTGAGATTGGCCTTCCCCACGTTCATGGCGGAAAAGTGGTAAGAGAGCGTGTTTGCAAAAGAGGTGCAGAGTTCAAGCTAAGCGGCCGGCGGGAGCGGAGGTTGATGCTCCCGACAATGCGATGAGGGGCAGGGGAATAAGTCGCCGAAATGGGCAGCCCTCGCGGTCATTTGCAACAAATACGCATCTTTACACATGCATAGAGGTGTGTTTTTACAGAAGCCATCCAGATTCGGCATCATATAGCCCCCCACCCGTTGATAAATCCTGTATAGTGCCCTGTCAGACTATTTTACTGAAGCGCTGCCAAAATGGTTAGTTTACAAATCGTTTTTTGCTTAATCTGATCCACAGTTAATTTTAGGAAGAAATGTTCTATAGAACATTGATCTTGTATTCATGTATGACCATACAATGTTCCGTCTTTGCAAGCAATAAGTGTGGTCCATTATCGCGTTTGATTAGTAGAAGTGCTGCCGAGTACTATGGTAGATGCGGTAGGCAGTCAGTTTCAACAGCAGCTAAAAATTATATGAGGTGTGATCAGCACAATGGTTAACCTATTCCACGAAAAATCTGGAAAGAATCGTGAGATTCAATTAAGGAAAGTAAAGCAGTACTGTGTTGAGGCACAGAAACCATAAGCATATCAAGAAAATTGTCATTTGAAACTGTTTATTTGCTAGGTTCTGTAGAGGATCGGTATAGTTTTGAGATAACGGTAGATTTCAATTTTGCACCTCTACATTTCCTTAATTCTTTTCCCCATAGTGAAAGAAATTTTCGAGTTGTTTGGACGGGATAACCAGCCAAAGAAAGCTAAATGCAATCAGAAACGCGGTTTTAGCACGAGCCCTGGGTCTAGCACTTCATACAACTTAACGCTCGTTATCCCTTCGAAGATGTGAAACAATTTTTTTTCAAAGACATTGCCCGTTGACTGAAAATTATCGTGCCGCCGATCTCACACGACAGCGTAAAGCAAAAGAGTGTGGACTCTTCGATAAAAATCCAATATGGATTTAGCATCCATGAATGTGAGTGTGTCTCAAATAGGAATTTCTTTCGCGCAGGATTTGAATCTGTATATTTTGCTTAATAACATCTTTTTGATACTTAGCGAAAAAGAATTCGATTATGAAAAGCTTGACAGCATGGTTATTGTTACCGGTACAACTGTGCGCTATGAGCAACTTTTTGAACATTCTAATCCATTAGCTCTTCTACCTTAACGCTAGATCTAATGAACTTACGAGGCCTCCAGATAGTTTTCTTTTTTTTAGTATAAAATAATCTTCATTTTTTTTGTTTGATTTTTGAGCAGTTATATGAAGCTCTCACTTTCTAGATAACTGTGCCCTTGATCCTATACTGCTGGCTGCGATCATATCCTCATTTAACGAACTGGAACTAAAAATTTTTGGACGTAGTTTCCGTAGTGTTAGTTCGAATGAAATTGATGAAAAAAAGGCAGAAGACCAGATATTGATGGTGAGTTTCAGGTTATTGACAAGCAAAAGATGTAATAATCTGCTTAATTGCAGGATCATTGCGATATTTACGATATTGCCAAACAACTTGCAGAAGATTACTGCAGTGGGTCCACAGTTGATTGCGAAAAGGCTTGTGCTATTAAGACTTGGTGAGCAATTCAACAATTGCAACGCTCAAAAATTATGACTGACCAATTCAATAACTAATGCCTTGCAGGAAATCCACGAACATGCTAGACCTGAGTGAGCACTACAGAACAGTTGTGAAAACGTCGGGTACCAAGCCCTTGGAGGTTTGGAAAGCTGCTGCATCCGGTTGGAAAGGTGGACAGCTAGAACAAGTAAGTTCCTCGCCATAATGAACAGCTAAAACGTTTGAAGTGGCAGTTTAAAGAGAAATTCGGTCTGATAAAATTTACATTTTGAGCGCATTCATTCAAGACAAAGCTGCAGATATTTGCAACTTATTGAATGTAAAAGTAGGCTTTTCTCTTACGTTACTAGCTCTGAAGTGTCCTCGCAGCTCTCACTCCACTGTCTTCCGCATTAAGATTAGAAGAGAATCCAGCAGTTGCGTATGCATACAGTTGTGTAGGTAACTTGCTTGTATTTTTTTATCAAACGCGTTTCGATGTTTGTGAGGAGAATCTGACATGCAATGGGAAAATTGTTCAGTAAGGAATTGTATTTACAAGGGAAGTCAGGTAACATCCGCGTTTTGAGATGAGACACATACATTTGGAATTAGCTTCAAATGCTGATTTCGATGAAGAAGAGAGTACCAGAGCCTAATGCCCGCGCCCCGCGCTTGGGGTAGCAAAGTAATGCGCATAACACGTGGGGACGCAAACGCAGACGAGCAGAAGAGAAAGAGCAGAGACAGGGCATCGGTTTGGTTGGAAATTTCTTTGAATTCTTGATACACTGCAACATCATAGATTCTGTTACGAGACGACTAGGAGCATTGACATCGCCACCAACGCAAGAAAATCACTTCTTAACGAAATAAAGTAATTTCGTGCGCAACTCTTCAAGCTTTAAACTTAGTTAGTTTCAATACATGACTCTATGTATCATGGACATGGAGTAGAAAATGCATGAATGTTTCTATTGCAGCTGATCGGAAAACTTCTAGAGCTTATCAATTTGAAAAAGTTTTATGCAACACAATTATTCCAATTTGATTTAGAGATTGGATTCGCCACTTTCCTATCTCTTCACACACTCGAGTCTTAACAATACTCATCTTCAGGGTCAAGCAAGGGGTGTGGCACACGATCGCTGGTTACGGCCCCCCCCCCTGATTGCTGTCTTAATAAGACCCCCCCCCTAAACTATACACTTAAGATAGCATTACTTGAAGGCCCTGTCAAACATAATGGGCAACATACCCATAATTAGCATGTCAATTAACCCCTGTAGACAAATCATTTCTGCACCCAAGACAAAGCACTACTCCTTCTTTGTCCACATCAGGAATCCCGCTTCAGAAGACCTCCAAACTGTGGAATTAGAAACCAACCAAAATCTCATTTTTGCCATTTTTCGCTTTCAATGGCTGTGCTTTCACCAACTATTACTCAAAGCAAAGAAAACGAATCAGGCTAAAATTACTTCTGTGAAAACTAGGAGATCTAGGCTATCGATCCATATAAATACTGTCCGCTAAAACTGTTTTTTTTTTGATATAGTTAATGGGGTGCGGCACACCCCCTTAAAAGCTGCGGCCGCCGCAGCTTTTAAAGGCAGCGTCCGGGCAAAAAGTCGATTTTGAGATTTTGTGCTTACCCGGGCCTATTCGCTATGCTGAATCCGAAAATCACCACTAGAGAGCGCGAAAACGGCGAAAAAGGGGTCTAACGCAGGAGGAATATCAGCAGGGGGCGGAGCGTCTGAGAAGGTGGATTCTCGCTTCCAGCTTCCGGAGCAATCTTCTCGGTTCCGATCTCAAATCACTCGTTTGTACTTGGCCAGTAGCGATGTTAGGGCGACTAAAGGAACCGAGAAGATTGCTCCGGAAGCTGGGAGCGAGAATCCACCCTCTCGGACGCTCCGCCCCCTGCTGATTTTCCTCCTGCGTTAGACCCCTTTTTCGCCGTTTTCGCGCTCTCTAGTGGTGATTTTCGGATTCAGCATAGTGAATAGGCCCGGGTAAGCTTAAATCCAAAATCGACTTTTTGCCCGGACGTTGCCTTTAAGGGGGTGTGCCGCACCCCATTAACTATATCAAAAAAACATTTTTAGCGGGCAATATTTATATGAATCGATAGCCTAAACCTTGTAGATTCCATAGGACTGTTTTGAGCCTGATTCGTCTTCTTAGCTCCAAATAATATTTGGTGAAAGCACAGCGATCAAAAGCGAAAAATGGGAAAAAGAAATTTTGGTTGGCTTCTAGTTCCACAGTTTACTAGGTCTTCTGAAGCAGGATTCCTGAAGTGGACAAAAAAAGGAGTAGTGCTTTGTCTTGAGCGCAAAAACGGATGGCTAATTCACCTTTGAAACAAAGTTAACCATGTTGGAATTTGACCATTTCACTTAAGTAGCCTAGTATTTTGAACCTTCAGAAATCGCTCACACTTTGTCTGCAGGGGTTCTTTGACATGCTAATTATGGATAGGATACGGATACCATGTTATCACTATTATCAGATCACCCAACTACGACCCCCTTCCCTTTTGACTCCTCGATACGACCCCCCAGATATGGCGTGCCACACCCCACGCTGTTTATGACATGTGTGCAGTTCATAAATGTTGGATGACCAGCGTTACAATCAGAACAGCTTTAAATTAAACCATCTTCTAATGTATCCAACGTAAGTAATGGCGCAGTAACAACCACCTTTCTGCAGCGACGCCATTCTGACTAATTCGCTCGCCATCTTTAAGACTCCTTAAAAGAAGGTTAAATTCCAGAATAGTATTTCTACTCACCCGCTCAGGAGTTGTTCATTAAACGGCACGCAATAATCTTTCTTCTTTTTACAATCCACGCTTGACCCTGCTCATTTTGTTGGCCTGGCGACTTATTGTCACCTTACTCGCAACAAATCTACACAATAATTTTCTTCCAGAAACTACTCTTCTCGGCTGCAGCTGGATGTGGGCATGCAATCTGTCAAGAGAATGTCACTGTTGTTTGTCTTTTGGAACATGTGTAAGTTTCAGTTTGCAGTCAAAAATTTTCGCTTTTGATTAAGAATTGTGCAAGAATGCGTATTGTTCTGGATTTTGAAATAGAAACAATAAAAGACTCAACTTTTGATAGTAAAAAACCTCTATCTTACTCCATATTTTGTTCACTTTTGTCCAAATCACCTTTTCATCAGATTTCTTGTAGCATTTAAGAAAGTAGGAACATCAACAGTGAGTTGCACTGTCTTCTACTTACCTCTACCTCTGGCTAACGCCACGCACCTTCACTTGGAAAAAGCCACGCGCGGAAAATTTTTTTGGGCCATCTCTCAAAGTTTTTTCAAGAGAAATTTTTCTTTACAAGGCTAATCTGTTGAAAAATTTCAAAAATTATTTCAATTATTCAGAAGAATAAATTTTTATAACCCATTTGAGTATATTCTAAAACTTTTGTGACCCATTTTCGGAAGTTAGGGTCCCCTCCCCCTCCCTCAGTCCGCCACTGCTGCATCTTGATTTCATGCATATACAGGGTGTCCCAAAAAATGTTAACACTGTTTGATCGATAATAACTCCCTTGCTTTCAAGTCTTTCGCCGAGCTTTAAGTACCATTTTGTAGAGCAAGGACAAACTTAGATTTACAGTATAGAGCGAATCACCAATCACTCTTCGTTACTGTAGTATTACGGTAGAAATTTTGACAAGGATTTTAGGCCATCAAAGGCCATTTTCTGCTTCAAAACAGAGCCGAACAGCCATAATCTCTTGTACTATAGTAATGAAAGCCGCTAATTTCAAATCTGAAGTTTCCAATTTATTACGATACTTTTTTTCAAAGTTATGGTAGGTAAAGTGTAATAACTGACTTCCCAGCATGTGTCAAAAATGTGATTACATCGTCAAAAAAGCTGAGAAAACTCGTAAAAAGTTGTGTAGTAAAATCAGCGTGCGCGAAAACCCTAGTACGCGATTTTTCAGATTTTTTGAAAAAAAATTTTGCCAGAGGGCATATTTCACGACGCTTCCACATGCTGGAATTTCCCACCGTAATCCTACCGTAACGAAGAGCGAACGGTGATTCGCTCCATACTGTAAATCTAAGTTGCTCCTCGCTCTACAGAATGGTGCCTCAAGCCCGCCGAAAGACATGAAGTCAAGGGAGTTATTAATGATCAAACAGTGTTAACATTTTTTTGGGACACCCTGTATGCAGTAGCAGTAGATAATTTACATCACGCAATTCTTTTTTTTTCACGGAAAAGCACTTAAAGCTGACTTATCAAATCTTTTGCAGGGACCAAGAATTCCAATTCAAGCAACTGGAGACAAATAATATCTTTTAAAAACGACAATGTAATTTTTTTTGTTATAAAGCAGACTCACTAATCGGCTTTGAACATATTCTCGTCAAGTTTGTACTACCCTATTTTCAGGTGTATAAGCCGCGGGGTGGTCCTATCTTACATCGATCAGCCCGAACACATCAATGGAACTCGCATCCAAAGAACCCTATACCGTGCTGCGTATTGCCTGAAAGAATCATGCGGCATAAGGATCGCTTCTCGAAACACAGTGAAGCAGCTGAGCAGCCCGGGCGAAACTTCAAAAAAGTGCGGCTTATACACCTGAAAATAGGGTAGTTAAATTATTAATTTGTTGATAACTTGTTTTGGTTTATTAATGCTAATTTTGTTTCCAATTAGACAAGCTGCCCTTCACTTCTGCTTCGAGAAGCTCGCTCTGGTTCACCACTCGCAAGCCCTCGGCGCACATTTCAGAAGATTGCTTTAAAACTCGATGGATAGTGTGATTTCCACAATGATGCAAGTGAAATTAAAGTTGACTTTCACTTCAGCTTTTTTAAATGAATGGTCAGGGAGTTGGCAGAAAAGTCAAAGCTTACTAAGTTTCGTGTGCAAACATGAACAGTTTTCGGAAAGTCCGGAAGCCTCCGGACTTTGGCTGTCGTGATTGAGTTGAAAGCGAAAGCGTTTACTTTCATCCATAATTCTTCGGAAGCCATCTCCTTTCATCATTGCCTCACCCAAATCATTCACACTCAAATTAAGCAACAAGCTGGAAGGTAAATCATTTTGCATTTTGTTTTCGTGAGATTAAACTCTACTCCGTCAAATCTCGATAAGAGCAAGGTGAGCGCCTACGTTGATGGCGTCTATACGACACTTCAGCTTATTACTCAGGCTCATAATGGTGGCAAGAGCGCTACTTTCAGCAGATAACGGAGACTAAGGGACCTGTCATACTTTGCCAAAAGCCCAAAACCGTTAGAAAGAGCCGGAACTCTCTTTCTTGGGTACAAAACTTGGCGCGAAGGCAAATGTGTTGATTTCGCAACGGGGTCATTTTGTTTCATCTTCTGTCGTCTGCACATAAAAAATAATCAGAATTCTACCAAAAGTTCTAGAAGTGTTCCGGTTTTTTTGGCGTATTTGGGCTATGTTGGGTTTTTTTCCGGGCTTTTATGGGTGCTTTAGGGCTTCTTTCGGAGGAGTATGACCGGTCCCTAATACTTTGACTGACTTTGCTGACAAGAAAGACAAATGACTCATGCATGATGGATTCATGACATGTGTGCAGTTTATGAATGTTGGATAAGCCAGCATTACAATCAGAACAGCTCCAAATTGAACCATCCTAATGTATCCAACGTAAGTAATGGCGCAGTATTAACCACCCTTCTGCAGCGACGCCATTCTGACTAATTCGCCCATCTTTAAGACTCCTTAGAAGAAAATTAATTCCAGAATAGTATTTCTACTCACCCGCTTAGGGATTGTTCATTAAACGGCACGCAATAATCTTTCTTCTTTTTAGGACACAGTTTATAGATATTCGCGACCCTATGGGTCGGCTTCGCGCAGATGCAATTTTACGGTTATTAGCGTCAAGCTTGGGATGTAGCACGCTAGACCTAGCGTGGGGGGATCGTATTGAAGAGTCAAAAAAGAAGAGGATAGTAATCGAGTAATAGTGATACTAGCGTTAACATGATATTCGTAAACAGTTTTTCAGATAACTCCATTATGCGAAATACAAGCCATATGATATTGACTTGTCATCGTATACCTACCGCAGCTCAATAAAGCCCTACCAAGCCTAACCAGCAACATATCCATATTTAGCATGTCAAAATACCCTGTGGATCAAGTTTGAGCGAATTCTGAAGTTTCCAAATATCGAGCCATCTGAGTGAAATGGTCAAAGTCGAACATGATTAACTTTAGCTCTCCTCTAAACCTGGGCATTCTGGTGTAGTAATTCTGTTGTTAATATACCAGACACAGGTTTATACGGTGTGTCTTTATTCGACCTTACGTTTCGTCCATTGCCAAACATCAGCGAATCTAGACCTCTCCTCTCGCGCAACGTATTGAGATACATGACGGTGTAACTGACCTCTGATCCATCAGGGTGTTAGTGAAGAAGTCAGTAGTTCGCACAAAGGACACTGACGACACAGAGAGCTGCTCAGTGGATCGACCTTTATATATGTGCAATATCGTCGCGATCGGGCTACGGTAGCGAAGAAGCAGATGTCATGAGAAAATCAGCTTTGAGTGTAATGTTTTTGCTGAGTTTGCCTACTCATACATAAGTAAGGGCAGACATCGTCTTGCCCTTATTTTCATTCCAACGCTCCTTTGCGTTCTCCTTTTGTTACTTGCTCATATGGATTTTTCGTATTCTGCCTTTTTTCTTTATACTTTTCCCTTTGCGCAAAAGAAAGAAGAAAGAGAAAAAACACTCAAAAACAATGCGAGACATTCTTGTACCCTAACGTACCTGCGCTAAATAAGACCTTCGGTACCATTTTTTGCGCTATTTGATGTGTTTCCATTTGTCATTGCTTTTTGCGCTGTTTGATATTTTCTTATTTGTCACTGCTCTTGCGCTGTTTGACAATTCTCAATCAATGGATATTTTTTCACTCACATGTAGTTGTTTCACTCATTATTCTTGTATTATTTCGTATTCAACTGTATTGACGGTATAATTACCCAAGTGAAGGTAGACGATTGCGCTATTGGTGTTGGTGTCGTGTGATTGTGGTGACACACCGATCCATTTTACCGCGTAGCAATTCGAAGCATACAAGATTCACTTTACGATGCATCGCCTACGAGGTAGTACCGCAGCAGAATAAAGAAGTTCGAAAAACTCCGAAGCGAAATTCGAACAATACACAGCGCCATCTACCATCAGCAGGCAACCTTGGTCTATGTATGTGTCACAAATTCTGAAAGACATGCGCGAAAAAATCGAAGAGGAAAACGAAATGCCCAAATCAAAGTCGGCGAGCTACAAGAGGCGATAAACAATCTGACGACCACAGTCGAAAGAGCGCTGAAAAATCTAGGAAATGAAACGGAACAGTCAACAAACATTGATCACCTCAACGAACAGGGGAAGGCGCTGCCGCAAAGATCATGGAAGAAGCCCTGATAGACGGCAATAACATGGTAGAAAAGCAGGCAAACGAAGATTAGAGGAATGGCGCCGCGCCGAACTTAACGAAGAAGCCGTCTCAATCAGAGAATAAAGAAGATGAACGTGCGCAGCCGGGCCACGAAGCAAAAACCATTGAAAGTGATCAGGATTAATCAGGATTATATCGAATTATTGGAATTTTGAAATGGACGACGCATCCTTATCTGATGAAGTGGATGAGGCCAAGGAACAGCAAGAAGCGGAAATTGTAAAAGAGCCGATCAGAGAGGAACCTGAGAGGGAAGAGCTTTTGATACCAGAAGAATCTCGCCTGCACTTAAGAGCTCTTGGTTCCTGCTCTGGAACTTGAGCTGGATCGAAACCGTCAGGCTCTCGCGGATTTGAATTTGATGATCGAAGAATTGTATAATCAGAGAACATGCTGGCCTTGCAGATATCATGGGGAGATCTAAGAGACCTTCGAGAGAAATATGTCGTGCTCATTTTGTAATGAAATCGGGGACCACTACTCCGATTCTTGTAGGGAAATCCCGACAGGACGGGAAAGGCGAGAAGTCCTGGAAATGAAGAGAAGATGCGAGGAGTAACTTTTTGCAAGAAAGCCTATGACAGGTGTTTGCTTGCCGGCATCATTTTGAATATTGTTGTATAATGAGGTGACATCGGAGGACTCGATAACACTGTTTTCATCTATATTCACGTTTTGCAACTCTTTTACAAACTGTTGAATGTTGGTCAAATGCGCAGCAACCTTCGGGAGCAGTTGGCTTACCATCGGTTACACTACAATTGCAATCATTGCCTTTTCCTCGCTTTTTCAATAAACAGCCAGATGTGGTACCTTCCGTTGATGCTAGATTTCGCGTGCTCTCAAGTCAAATTTTGAGCGTTTTGAATAGATTTAGGCAAATACGTTGTAACAACTTGACGCGAGAGCAGTCCAAGGGTTTGAAGAAGTACGCAAATCTCTGAAAGATTACTCTATTCATGTTTCCGTTAGCGACAATGGAGGTGATCTGGTGGTAATGCCGCAAACGTTAGATAATATGCAGAATTACATATTACTGATTTGACATACCAGCGCTGCACTCAGAAAGATTACCATGTACAAGGCAAACTGCACGAAGTTTGGGTCAGCGGCAGCAAGATCTGCAGGATTAGACGAGAAACTTGTTACTAAGTCAAAACTGTTAAACCCAGATTGCCCAAAGTTCTACCATCTCGTGAATACCCACAGTAACATCACGCGAGCTTTGTTGCATTTCTGCAACATTTTTGAGATACGAAAGGTTATAAGCTGTGTTGATAGCCCTACAGATAGAATATCATGGGCTTATTAAAATTGTAAGCCAACTGCTCCCCGAAGGTTCCTGCGCGTTTGACAGTGGGCTGGCGATGGGCCAACAGTTAGCCCCAGTCTTAGCCATTTGCTTTATGAGCAAAATTGAGGAACCAGTATTGGCACGCTTTCCATTGATGTACTGTCGTTACATCGATGACTACTGTGTTATAACCTCGGCATAGTCCGAAATGGACGAATGCTTCAGAATCCTAAACCAGCAGTCACAGTAAATCAGGCTTACACGGGAAACTCCGAACGACGTTGGCTTTCCTTCCTAAATACGCAAATACAGCTGGTTGATAGCGCTGTTTGTATACGATGATACCGGAAGGAATTTTCAGGAACATCATACTTCAACTCAGCGCATACGAAAACAGTGAAACGAGATGTTGTTCGCAACGTGTTCGGACCCGCGAGTGCATGTGCGGGTACACAAGCTCAGATAATCGCCGGGGGCAGGCGTTCCGCAAACTCGCGCTTTTCTACAAGCGGTCAGCAGAATTTTGGGGCGTGGCCAAACCTTCAGCGAGCGGCACTTCCTTTACGGTCGCATATTCTGCCAGCGGGCAGCAAAACAGCAATACAGCTTTTTACAAGCGCTCGCCAAATAATTTCTTCCAGCGAGCGCTTTCCAAACTTTCAGCAAGCGCTCGGACTCTTTTTAGGCATTTCCGGGCGTACGTTGAGCGCAGATAAGACTCTGTATGGCAGAGGTGTCACCGCTGATTAATTACTCAAGTTTGAGGTACTTTCCCCCAGCGGAAAGTACCTGGGGGTTGCGCGGTCCTCCACAAAGGACCGTGCGGCCCTCGAAAATTTTGCATATTCTCGCGGAAAGTCCGCGAGAATGCGGCCCTGCGCCGCAGCTAATCCATAAAGAAACCGCGATTGTTCTTCAAGCATTCGTCTTTAATTTCGCCAACTTTCTTTCAAATTTCTGCAAGCGGGCGGCAAAAAATCAACGAACTATTTTTCCGGTGCGCGCTTGCTCAAAATTCGCATGGCCGCCTGCCCCTGGCGGTTATCTGAGAGAACTTCTTGAATTTAGATATTGCAGAGACGGGTAGAATGTTGAAGGTGAGAATAAAGGAGCATTTAATACGAATAAGAGCCGAGCCAATGCAATGTCACCGTTGGGAAAACATGAGATAGAAGCATATAATGGCGGTGCATGCGACGTAAAATCCACACTTCTACCATACGAGACAGAAGTTATAGTACGAAAAAGTATGGAAGTGGCATGGATTTCCGTTAGAAATCCAAGCATGAATAACAAGACTGAATGCTTATCGATAGCGACCGAATTCTTGCCGTATCCGTCGATATGTGAGTTACAGCCTTCACATACTCAGACAATCGCCGGGGGCAGGCGGTCCGCAAACTCACGTTTTTCTGCAGGCGCTCAGCAGAATTTTGGGGCGTGGCCAAACCTTCAGCGGGCGGCACTTCCTTTACTGTCTATTGTTCTACCAGCGGGCAGCAACACAGAATTTTCTGCAGGCGCTCGTCAAATAATCTATTTCAGCGAGCGCTGGTCAAAATTTTAGCTGGCGCTCTTAAGCATTTTCGGGCGTACGCCGAGCGAAGGTGAGACTCTACATGGCAGAGGTGTCATCGATGGTTTAATTGCTCAAGTTTGAGGTACTTTCTCTCAGCGGAAAGTACCTGGGGGCTGCGCGGTCCTCCACAAAGGACCGTGCGGCCCTCGAAAATTTTGCATATTCTCGCGGAAAGTCCGCGAGAATGCGGCCACTGCGCCGCAGCTAATCCATAAAGAAGCCGCGATTGTTCTTCAAGCATTCGTCTTTAATTTTGCCAACTTTCTTCCAAATTTCTGCAAGCGGGCGGCAAAAAATCAACGAACTATTTTTCCGGTGCGCGCTTGCTCAAAATTCGCATGGCCGCCTGCCCCCGGCGGTTATCTGAGTATATAAAGGCTATTCACTGAGCAGCTCTCAGTGTCGTTCTGTCTGTTTGCTCGACTACTGACTTCCTCACTAACACCGTGGACCTCAGAGGTCTTTTTCACACCGTCATGTATCTCAGCACGTTGCACGCGAGGAGAGGTCTAGACTCGCTGATGTTTGGCAGTGGCGTTTGGCGGTGTTGTCTCCCAGATTTAAACTGCAATCTGCTTCAGACCTCCGAAGACGACGACTGTGTCGAAATAAGGTCGAATAAAGTATAAAGTACCACCCTATAAATGTGAATGCGGCATACTAACATACAGAATGATTAGCTTTGTTTCAAAGATAAATTTTCAAAGATAAAGATATTCTTCCAAGCCATCCCATTTTATTCGACTTTTATTTGTTTCTCATGGTAGCGATGTAAGAGGGAGCTGAGAGAGGTCCTCCGCCAAGCACGCATGGATTCGCCCATTCGCTTTGGTGCTTCCTCTTTAGATTCGCTTGAAAGTGATTCGCTTATGGCTTTCACACCATGATTTATGCTGTTGAATTAGTGGGCTAAGCTTGCTGTCTTCTAAATTTGGATCCACTGTGGCTGCTGGAGACACCGTCTATGATTGGCTATGCTATTTGTTGTTCTGTTTTTGCTTTTTTTGCACTAACCACGTTCGTCAGGAGCATCTATGAATGCACAAAATAAAATAAAATAAAATAAAATTAGCTACCTCCTTTATGTTCTCTTGCAAAGCAGTACACTTTCTTTTCTCATTTTAGAAATCCTTTTCAAATAACCTTCAAACTCCAAACGAAAATTAGAAGCAAGCCAAAATCTCGTTTGTCCTAACTTTCGCTTTTGGGGGCTTCGCTTTTACCAACTATTACTCAAAGCAAAGCCGACTTAGATTATTACTGTGAAACTGCGAGGTTTGAACTGTCGACTTATATAGATACTGTTCGCTAAAAATGTTGTTGTGACACAGTTAATGGGGTATAGCATTACCCAAAAAAGCCCACACCACAGCCACACCTTTATCTAAGGTTGTGCCACAGTCCATCAACTTACCTCTAGAGAAGTAAGGAAGTGGTTTAAGCTTATGAAAGCTCAGCTATCAAAAACAAAAAAAATGACAAGCGAGGTTTTGGCTTCTTTCTGGAAACCTAGATGGACTGAAAATGCTTGCGAAAGGGTTTAAACGGTGCCATTTCAGTATTCGGGGCGAAAATATCGAAATCGTAGATCGCTAAAATTCGGTCTATGGTGCATTTTGAATATGGCCCGTAGTAAACCCCCATCAGGGCATCTCTCTTGAGGCGGACCGGAGCTGATCTCATCGCGCCTCAGTACATTTCCAGGGGAACGATTGATTTGGAGCAGATCACTTACTGGGCGTTCGCGTTTTCAAAGTCAGAACGTTTCTGCCATTTGTGCATTATTAGTCAAATGGATAAGACTAATGCGCAAGCGGCGGAGCCGTGGTTCGAGTGCGGCTAGCGGCACCATTTTTGCTGTTTGGCCCGGCGACCTTTGATAGCGGCCGCTATCGAAAAATCGATGATTTCCGCTATCAGAGATTTCACCTAGCAAACAACAAGATAAAACAAATACACAGTTTGGCATACATACGAGAAAAAGATACACTTAACAATAATAAATAGAAACGTAAATTCACATTCTTATTACCTGAAGCGGTTCTTTGAGAAAAACAAGCAACAACTGCAAGAAAATGCAAAAAAAACTTTTTTCCGATTTTGTCGCGCAACCAGCTGTTCATCGATCCTCACTCACTTAGGCGCCCGAAATTGTGCAATTTTGGGAGTTTTGCACCGCAAAAGAACGTCATCTGCGATGTTTCGTAAGTTACTCGGGAGCAACTTACGAGGATTTTCTCTGTGCTCTCCTCTTTAGCACAGTATTTACCTTATGTCGTCGCCCGGCTCATCTCCGATGACTCCGGTAGGGAGGTGATCTCCTTACCGGGCTTCGTCTGAAGCTCACCTGTATGGTGACCTTGCATATTTATACCACGGAAAGTGGGCAGTCCTCATCTCACCCGACAAAGCCTCATATGAGGGCCTCAGGGGAGATCATCTCCCGTG